GGAGTGACACGACCCTACTGCAAGCAGAAACCTGAAACGTAAAAACCTTTTTACATTCCAAGGAGCAAAACCTGCAAGGGGAGGGCCTGCAGGTTTGCACTCCAGAAAACATTTATCACTACAGAACTGAAACACGGTGTGAAAATAAAAGCTCTCCAAACCTGCTTTCACACATTCCCCAGCGCGCCCAGAGGTGTTCCTGCTATGATACACCTAACAATGCTCTTGAGAATTGTTTTCACAAACAACAAATACAAACAAAACAGCAAAAGAGTCAAGAAGTATTTCCTCAAGTACCTGGAATCCAGGCTATTTGTACTCTAAATATACTGCAGAAGGAGGGTTGGTATATATTCAGATGTTACAGAAGGCCACAGGAAAAGATCTAAGCAAACAGTGAACGCTTTAAAACACAGCACATCCCAACTAAGCTGGTGGGTTTATTGCAGATCACTGACCTCTGTCCTGTGGAACCAGCCTGTATTTTACAATTCAAGCTACGTGCAGTTGTGCAGATATAAATATACATCAGATATGCGCGCTCTCTTGTGTAAAAAACACACAGAAAGCAGAAGACACAGATGGAAAAACAAGAGGATGAGTTTCCTTGGAGGTTTCATAGACAAAGATGTTCAAACGAAGCAATTTAAAACCAGAAAGAATCTTACAAAGTGCTTCTAAGCATCGCATTTCACTTGCTTGTTTTCGACTTGGTTTGCAAAAAGCCTTAGAGGGAACCAAACCACTTCAGCGGCTGCTTCCTCATTCCTGATGTGCTCTGGAGAGCTTCACTGGGCTCCTTCCCCATGACTTATGCACCACACTTCCAAGGAGAGGCAAGTCTCTAAGAAAAACAATTAAAACCTTTACCTAGTCATTCCTTGTCATGCCTTGGAAGGGCAGAAAAGCACTGGCAGAGCTTGGGAGACAAGAAATGGGCTCCGTACTCTTACAAGGCAGCGCAGAGCCATGCACAGGACTTGGCACTCAGGTCCCCCTGTGCTGCAGCAGGCAGAGCTTCCTCAGGCCACGGGGCTGGAAGGAAATATGTAAGACGTGGGATGAATAGCGTTTTGCAATAAATAGATCATAAACTGCTCCTAGGGGTGCAGAAGAGGGATGGCCACGATGAAGCCCGCAGCGGGGTCGTGCTGTGTGCCCGGAGGCAGCTGTGGTGCTGGTGGGCACGGTCCCCGCTCAGCGTGCTGCAGTACGGGCACTGCGGCGAGCTCAGGGCTGCTGCAGCCCAACAACCAGCCCATTCATCCTCCTGACTGCTCCATTCAGGGCCAGCTGACTTGTTGTTCCCACAACAGGACCCTGCAAAGGACTTTATTTAAGCAGGAAAACAGATTTGTGTTGTTTCTAAAGGCAATTGAATCTAGCATTGGCTGCAGAGGCCTGAGCTGTGTTTCTCTCAGTGCCAATAAAAACACCAGGATTGTGGAGGAGACTTTAGAGGCTGTGTTTGCCTTCAGTCTCCCATGGAGCACATCAGAGCAGACAAAAGGGTTCCCACAGCACACGGATTGGGCTGCAACTGTATAGAAGTTCAGCGTTTTGAGTCTGCTTCTCCCAACTTCTTGGCGAGTTATTTTTAATTTAATTAAAGCCTTCCCCCAGTTTACTGGTCCAGGAGACATCTCATGGAGAGGATGGTGAGGTTAAACATGTCTTAGGCTGGTCAGGGAGATGCTATTTGATCTCCTATTGGCACTTTGCATAAGATACATGGTCCCACCTGTGGCTGAGCTCTGCTCCAAGTGCTTGTGCTGGAATTCCTGCCCACGTGCTCAAGGCAGACAGAAGGCGGATGGGGAAATGTCCCCAGAGAAGTGATGCAGAGTGCCCGGGAGTCATGCACAGCTCCTGCAACTCCTCGAGGAACATCCAGGCTGCTGGGCCCTTCCGTATGCACACGGCTGGGCAACCTCTTCTGCTAAGGTGTAAAGAGAGGCTGGCGTGAGATGGATTCGTCCTTAAGCTGCTGTGCAGGGACGCACAATTCTCTACTTTTCAGTGCCCGGTTATCTAACCTCCGTGCTCCACTGACGTCGTTCCCTGTATGGGATTTTATATAGGTTTCCATGAAAGAATTCACAATGTATAAATAGCGTGGATGAGAGGTGACCTTTACATTTGTGCACGTGGAGATTCATACACCGCCAGGGCTAGCTGGGAGGCTGAAGTCATTTAGATATGTTCTCATCTGAAGTTTCTTATGAATTATTTGTAAGCTATTTTCTCACTTATTTTGTTATAATACTCCCACATACTCACCAACCAGTAAAAATAGCTTAACAGTGAATATATGTTTCGGAAGTCTGTTTGCCTATTTTTCTTTTGTGCAGCAGCTGCTGTTGCCATGCTGTCGTTGCTATGTTTTCTTTTTCCTTTCTTTTTCTTAAAAAGAAGAAAAAAAATCTAGTCCCTAAACATACTAAGCTTAGTTCATGGAACAAAATACCTGAGGTAAAGCCCAGAGGAATATAGGATAATCTGTCTGGAAGAGCACAGCTTATGTCCTCCTGACACTAATATACACATTCATCTTTCAAAGACTTAATGAAACTGCAAATGCAATTTAGAATAACTATCAAAAATCTTCAGATAAAGATCATCACAAAAGAATATTGAAGTATCTCAGAAACTGGGCAGTGAAAGGTAAATTATAAGCTGATAAGGAGGTAGGAACAAAAAGATTTTAAAGAATAAATGTGGCCAAGTCTCATCTGGAAAACAAGTCAATAAAGTTGCTCAATAAGCTTGTCAGAACAGTCCTTAAAGCTTGACAGGCAAAACCTGGCTCTGTGGGATGGCGCTGAGGAATGCCCCTGCTCTTTCCAAAGGCCACAGACCCAAGGTGCAAAATCTGATCTGTGGGTCCCCGATTGCCACCTTGCACCTTTGTGCCCTTTATGAAGAGCTGAGGGAGTTTGCTGAACCAGGCTTCAGGCTCAGCAATTAGGTTTTGGGAAGAAGTTACCTTGGGTTCCTGGTCCCTCCTTTGCCTTTCAGCTCCAGGGGAGTTTGGATGAACCTTCCACCCTCAGCACCAACCTCCGTGGAGGTCTGGGAGGAAAGCATTGATGTGAAGACAAGAATCCACAGTGTCAGCCCAACAGTTGCTAACTTCAAAGACAGAAAAACTTGTGAGATAGCAAAATTACTCTGGTGGGTCAGGAGTGTAGAGAAGACCTGTGAAATTTGGGTCATTGAGCAACACTCTGGCAGAAGAAATTCAACACAGCTGAGTGCAGGGCAGTGCACGTTGTTCTGCCAATTTAAAGGACTCTTAACACGCTGATGGGTTCGGGGTGATGTAACCTCTCAGAATAAAAACCCAAGTGCTACTGTGGCCAGCTTAAAGACAACTTCTCATCACACAGTGTCATTCAAAACAGCAAGTAAGATGTCAAAATAAAACGTGTTTTAAAAAAAAAGGGCTAGAAGTACCATATCATGTTTTTATACAAGTCGAGAGCATGTCCTCTTCCCCTGAGCAGCGAGCCAGCCTTGGTGAATTCAGTACGACACAAGGGTGAAAGATAAATTAGGTTTCCTTTGTTTGAGGCGTGTGCTGTGTAACCTGCCTCTTCCCTCTGCAGAAGATCTCCATCACTGACTGCATCCCTGGGTCACCAGGAGAGACATTAAAGACTGGAACAATTTACTGCAGAATTAAGAAGGGCAATAGTAAAATCGAGATGGGTGATGTGGAGACTGCTGAGTAGGATGCTACACGAGAAAAGGGAGCGTTCCCTATTTCAGGGACTCTTCAGCTGTCAGCCTCCTTGACTGAGGTGGGTGAGTGACAAAGCACAGCTGGACTCAAGATGCCCTTCTCTTTCAGGAGTGTGTCTATTTAGCTGCTGCTTTCCTGCATGGAAAACCAGGTTTTCTTAATAAAAATTAAAATAAAACAACCAAGCCCCCACCTGCATGGGGCACAGGTGCCACCAATGATTACAGTGCTGTGCTTTAAGCAGTCCTGCCACTTGCTGTGTGTTGCTCCTTCCTTTACCAATCTCTCTTCAGCTTCAGACTACCAAATCCCATCTTCCTCATGCTCCTGTCCATGAGGACCATCACTTCCAGCCACGCCAGAGAAAGCACAGAGAGCTGTACAGACCCAGCACTAAGGCCTGGGAGTCAGGAGCTTCTGACTGTATTCCTCGCTTTGGGGCCCAGCATGAACTACACAAGTAGCATCATTTCTCTGCATCTCAATATCCTCGCCCTCCGCTGGAACTAATAACAACTCCTCCACCAAGCAGGCATGCTGTGAGAATCAATTGGTATTTGTAAAGCCCTTTGAGAAATGTAAGGCACAGTCTGTATGTGAAAATTATTGATATGATTCATTACCAAGCATTCATACTCTATTTATACAACTCCCAGTCTATTACTAAATATTATGTCCATTTGAATATTGAAATCACTGCTGCTAATAATTTCTGCTAATGTTACACTGGTCTTTTGGAGGTGGCTTTTTCAGCTTGAATGGGAGAATTGTGGAGGCAGTGAAAAAGGGAACAAATGTTAGGAGAGGAATTAAAAAGAGGACAACAGCTCTGTGCAGGCTTCATGGAAAACAATAAAAAATCCATTTAACAAATAACTTTGTGCTAACACTTATCTGATTCCTCTTCCCCTGCTCTTTCTTCTCATCTGAATTTGTATGAAAATCTGATCTCCATTAGCTAAGGATTAGCCCTTGTCTGTGAGCTGAAAATGAGCAGACTCAAGCACGTCGTGGCTCTCCAGACAGGCCGCTTGCTCTCTGCACGTTGGCCCAAGCAACACCCGAGCCCTCTCTCTGTCACCTCTCTCATTTCCAGGGCGCGAGGATGCTCCCTCCAAACCGCCGGCCTCCCATCCCTCCAGCACCTGTCTCCACCAGGCTCCACGCATGCGCAATTCCTTTTCCCCTGCCAGGCTGCCGAAAGCAGCGCAGGCTGGGACTCCTCAAAAAGCTCCGCTTCTGAGAAGAGAGAGCATATGTCTATACATTATATATTTATTCACACACTGAGGCATGTTCCCACTCCCGAGACACACACGGTATGTTCTGACTTTCTCACTCCAGCATGTTTTGCAAATCTGCTCTCCACCCCCTCTATTCCCTCGCTTCGCTTTATCAGGATCTTGTTTAAGGGAAATGCTGCTTACTGTAAACTGGAAACGTTAACATCAGGTCAACAGACCATTTATTAAGAAGCAGCTGTGGGAGAGGAAGGGATGGGGCACCGCTATTTTCCTGGCTCAGCTTCTTCTCCTTCCACTTGGAATATTTATTCCTTGCTGTGATCTTTTTACTCGCTCCTTGCGCTGACAAAACGCCGCCGATATCTGCGGTGCGGGAACTCAAGGACAATCGATATTTCGCTTGAATCAAATACAATGATTTTTTTTTGTTGTTTTCAAAGCTCAACATTTTGCAATTAAACCTCTCAAGACATGGGGAAAGTGAAGGTAGGGGTTCTTTTGTGGAAGGCAGGAGGGAGCAGCATAGAAGTAGAAACCAGAGCAAACCAGCAGCGAAGCCAATAGAAAGACGCCGCATCGTTTCTTCTTTTTAATACATTTTTTACGAGAAGTGAGATCTTTGATTACATTTTTGATTAGGAGAGACAGGCATTGCCCTGCCCAATGCACAGTTAGAGGGAAAGGAGCCTTTCATGTTCACAGATATGAGACATCAAAACAGCCATTCCCAACTCTTAAAAGGATCAGACAAAACTGCAGCTCAAACTGTGCCAGGGACTTTGGTGCAGGCAGGTTCCCGGCGGAAGGCAGTCTCGGAGTCGTGAGGAATCATGTGGATGCTGACACTCCTGTTAAGTGTGGGGAGAAACAGGGGGAATTTCTCCCAGGGAAATCCAGGACAACGGTGAGGGCATTTCAGAGTGAGAAGACCAGGAGCAGTGACAGCCGTGCTGCAAGGGGAGCTGCCAAGAAGTAGCTCTTAGTTGTAAGGAAAGAGTTGCTCCTGCTCCGTCAGAGGGTCCAGGCGGACAACCAGCAGAGCACAAACAGCAGCAGATTTTTACTTACAGTACAAATAAGTCAGAGTTTCCTCTCTCCCTGCTTCCTAAAGCCTCATGGCCTTACGGGACCTCCCTGTGCTGATGCCCCGTCACAGGACGGGCACGCTGACACGCGGCTCTGCTGTGCACCACCACCGCTCTCTGTCTTTGGAGCTGCTGGTTCCAAGGGGCCTCTCTGCTTTAGAGGTCACCTTGATTTGCTGATACCCTACAAGAGTTGAATCAGGCGAACAAGAGATTAGAGTTCTGATCTTGCACGACTCCACCTGAATACTAACAATGGCAGCACGGTGTCCCAGCTTATCCCTCACCGTCACTGCACTGACCCTTCATTTGGCTGTGGGATCTGCGAAATCTCAATGGCTGGAACAAGACAGGAGAGCAAATCAACTCGTCAATTCTTGCAGAATTTACTGCAGCCTGGACTCAAGCACCTTTTCATGTCCCAGCTTCCCGGCCTGCATTACAGAAGTGAAAACCCAAACCCTGGACAATTTTTCAAGGTCCAAAGAAAGAGCTGCCCACGTTGGTGGTAAATATGACGATCACCTTCCCAAAATTTGGTTCAGCTGAGCAAACAGATGTCCTGAAAGCATCAGTTGCACCTGAAGCTCAGATGCATGAACCTTCTCAGTATGTCCCTAGTGCCAAACGATGACCATAACACGGACCTGCTGGTGCAGAAGCAGTCACGTTATCATGTTTTCTGCCCACCAGCCTGCTTCTGGCCTCTCTTGGCAGAGGACTGTCCTCCAAAGCACTGCAGCACCGCTTCCCCTCTGCTGTCACCCTCCACCTCCTGTTTCAGCTGGGCACCATGCAGAGATAACGCTGGGATTGCACGGCCACCGCCACCAGGACATCACCTAGCCCAGCCTGCCTCCAGCTGTGGCCCCCAGCCCTGGCTGGCCTGAAGTGCTGGCAGCACAGCCCCAAAAACATTCAGTTCACACTGATAACAACCAGGGTGTGATGGACAACTGTTCTTTCTCACAAGGATTTACCTGCCAGGCCTGCCACAGATTTTTATCCTCTTTTTTCCCTTCTCATGCAGCAATAATGTCAGATTGAGAGAGTCTGTGAGATGCCCACAACTCATTCTCAATAGCACGTTGCCACCCAGCCCTACATCTACGTTAAAGATGAGCTCGGCCATCACTCAAACAGCTGAGAGCCGGAGTAAATAAGGGCTTGGATGGAAAACAGCTGGCTCCAGCTCAGCCGGGACATCACAGAGGTGCAGTGCAAGGGTCTGCCAGAAAATTCAACCCCAGCTTCTGCTGAAGTGCCTTATCTATCTGGGAGGGGAACAGCCCTTCTTTTGGGAGATGAATAGCCCTTCTTTCCTTCTGCACACACCGCTGCTGCTGCTGATAGGCACCAGAAGGGGCTGTGAGCATCTCTGCCCTGCTCCGGGCCAGCCAGGTGGTCGCAGCCTTTTTGCTCGGCTGTAGGCTTAGCTGGTGGGACCCGTGCCTCCCTGCTGGAGGCTGTAATTCACACACACACCTCTCAGCCGGAGCAGCTCACAGCAGCTTGTCTGCTTAGCGCAGAGGCAGGTGAGAACAGGCTGTACCCAAATGCCACGCTGTATTGGTTTGCCATTACATAGCAGATAGGCTGCCATTGATTTCAATTGGATTTTTGTTCCTAGCAAACTCTCTAGAAATACTTAGCCCAAAGCCTGAAGTGTTTCTGAACACGCACCCTCCTCGTTTTCCACTGCTTATTGATGGGTTCGGTGTCTCCCGGCATACAGCCCGGATTTCTTCCACCAATGTCACCGGTGGGATCGGAGCAGCACAGGGAGCATGGCTTTTCTTGCTTGCATGGCTTCTTCTTCCGTGAGACACATAGACCTCTGGTTGCGTCTGAGGCTCTGACTTCAGTAGCTGCACTGATTTCGTGACTGCCAATTGTTATTTTTTAATCTTTGACAAACGGCGGTGAGCAGCTAACGCTGCAAGCACAGCCCCACACTGTGATTAGCCGCACAGTTGAAGGGAAGGAAGGTTGCCCCAACATTTTGGCATGAATAACAATGAGGCAGATAATTTTTCTACAAACGCTTTCCTGTAAAGCAGCCTTTAGAAAAATGCCAGTAACACCCCAGGGATATTCACTCCGCTGGATGACGAAGAAGAAACCACAAATTATTTCTCTCTCAGCCTGTGGAAATGTTCGTGTATGTGGCCTCAGAGTTACTGTTAGAGGATGAACTCAAGATACAGAAACAGATACAGCAGGGAACACGTCCCATGGACTTGCTCAAACATCTCCTAGGCATAGCTCCCTCCTGCAGACTCCTGCCTTGGGTCCTGGCTATCCACATGCAATAAAATAGACAGGAACTAAGCTTTGTGCAGGGGATGCCTGCAAAAGTAAGCTGGCCTGTGTTCTCATGCTGCAGAGAGGGGAAAAATGGGAAAACCAAGGAGAAAATGCAGTATCTGAAAGAAATCTGTGCCAGCAAACAAAGGCAAGAGGTACGAACAGGGTGCAGCCCCGGTGAGCTAAAGGCACCGGCTGGACACGCGCAGCTCAGGCAAGCATTTTCCCAACCAATTTATATGGAACCACCTTAGCTGAAATATCACTTAATTTAAAACATCCAGGAAACAAAATAATGTCTTGAAGGTCAGGTGGGGGCAGCTTGTAAAGGGCAGGGCAATTTGATTTCCTGCTGACTTGCCACCCATGCTAATGGTCCCTCTACAAGAGCGCTGTCAAGGTGAGAAGAGCAGCACGCCACCCCAGCCTCCAAACTGCCTGTGATGGGCGACAAAGCCATCTGCAGCTTCACTCTCTGTGACATTGGAAATGAGCATGGGAACCCTAGAGAAACACTTCCAAAGGTGGGCCTCTGGTTGCCCTGTTCCTCAGCCATACATCTGGAACGAGGCAGGGCACCGGGGAAAGGGAATTCCCTCGGCAGCTGAATGGCAGTCTCATTTATAAGCCACATGGGACAGAAATGGCCTAGAATTTCCCCAGGTTCCCGTGACGCTGCTGGCACACACCACAGTGCTAAGCGCCCCCAAGGACAGAAAAACTCATCCCACCGGTGCTAAGGGATGTCTTGAACAGGGCGAGCCAGCCACGCTCCAGAGCTCCTGCTAACAAGGCAGCACACGGCTGCACGGCCACCTTCGACCCCCCTGTTTTTGCCATCCACATTTCTGCATTTCTCTCCATTAACTGCTAAATGCCTCACCAGTCCCCCCAAAGGTCAAGGTAGCAGAAAGCAGCAAGGTGTGCTATGAAGAGCTACGTAAATCAGGAGACAGCTCCTGCACCCAGTTAACAGGCAAAGCCCAGAGGCGATGCTCAACTTGATTAAAATAAAGACATATCCCTGCCCGTGCTGGGCTGCCTTGTGCACATATTGTTCCTCAGTTTTTCAGTTTGTAAAATAGAGTAATGGTTTCTGTACCAAACAATGGTCCTGGAAGGCTTAATTCATGTTTGCGAAGTGATTTCAGATCTTAAATTGGAAGGCATGAGAAAGCACAAGTTGTTATTATAATTGCATTATTAAGTGCTGTTAAAAAAAAAACTCAGCTTACGTTTCGTGGAATTCAGGTCCTTCTTCAGACTTGCTTTATGCCCTTGACACATGTATTTGACAATAACCCAAATAGCCTTGATCTTTCATTCCCAGCAGGGCTTTCTTTATACCTTAATGAGGTCTCTTCTTAATCTCTTTTCCGAAGGATAAACACCTCATCTCAGAATAACCAAATTCTCTGAGCTGCTGTGCGCGAGCTGGGCTGGGTCTGCTCCTCTAATCTTGGCCCAGGGAGGGGACGAGAGCAGGCAGGAGGAATGCAGATGGGGTCTCGGCCATCCCTCACAGGATGCCACAGGACACGTGCAGATCTGCCAGCGACGTCTCTATTTCTGACAGTTAGGACGCTCCTGAAATACTTTACTGCTCCTGAGAGCTATGCCAGGCTATTTAGTCCCAAATACGGCAGTATTTTTATCCCTCTCGTCCATAATGCCTGATCTTCAACCTTATCTCTGTTTCGTAGCACAGGATGCTCCCAAGATATATTTCTGACCGTATTTCTGTCTTTTAACTCCAATATTTCACTTCCCTTACCCTTACCATTACCAAATCACCCAGAGATCTACAGCCTTGTTGATATTGACTTTCTTCTCTCTTCAATCCTTCCCTCAGGTTTCCTCTTTTTTCCCCCCTTATCATCTGCAAATTGCATCGTTTTTATCTTCTGCTATGCTGGAAATCTTATCATGAAAGAGAGATTTTTCTTTTTTCTTTTTTTTAATTAGTACTTGGTAATATTACCAAGCTGTGAGTTTATGGCTTTGTAGATCTTATATTTTTGACACTAATTACTCACAAAGGCTTTTAAAGCAGCATTTCAACATAGCAACTGCCATGACTGTAATTAAGTAAGAAGCAGCAAATTTTTTTACATTTCAGAAAAAGTCTCCAGCCTTCCTGCCCCACATCACAGCTCGGCCCCCGGTATCACTCCGATGAACAAGACCAGACATCAGGAACATTACTTTCCACGCATGCCCCCAGATCCCCACCCTCACCCAAGCACTTGGCTGCTGTATTAATAGTGCTGTCAGCGCGGAGCACCTACAGGGATTCTCCATTTGCCTATTGCCAATCTGAAGGGCTCAGCTAATTTTAGACTCGCGGTTTCTGCTTCTTGCAAGAGGCTGCTCTTCCCCCGTTCGCATGTTCAAGCCTCAAAGACTCTCTTTGAACCGACCGCAGGGCTGCGCTTGATTTATCTGGTCCCCAGCACCTCCTCTCTGGGACCCGGGAGGGAGGCAGGGGATGTCCTGTGATCCGTACCGATGCCGGATGCCTCGCCAAGAAGGTACCAAGGGCTCGTAGGATATGTTTGTAAAGCAGCTGTTATGGGGATGATCAATTAAAGGCGTCTCAGTGGGGCGAGTTTGATTCCACTGGCCTAATTCATTTCCAAATTACTGCAGGATGCTGCCGTTTACTGTTACATTATTTGTTCTCAAACTCCAAATTAAGATTTTATTGTGCCATTAATTTTTACGCGGGAGCTACCATTAAAATCAATGTTCTCTGCTTAAAACTTGACAGTGTAAGATGACTGATTGTCTGGCCTGTTTCCGACTGCTTTACCACCTCCGAAGCGGACGGGGGACACCAGCCGTGCCACTAAGACCACACGATGTGGCCACCAACACGGGAGCGCTTCCAGCCTGGGATGCCCGCAGTGGGTCTGGCATCACGGGCTGCTCTTTCTGACATCTCCTGGGGGACGTGGATCCTCCTTCTGCTAACAAGTCATGGGCAGCGACTGGGGGGAAGGCAGCCAGGGCTCCAGCACCGGGCATGCAGCCATGGGGGCAGCCCTTGGGGTTATGGCCCAGCCACTGCTGGGATCCCAGCCTCCTTGCGCCTTGCCTTCCCTGAGCTGCCTGTCTCCACCTGTTGCCTCTTGCCCTGCAGACAGGCTACAGCGTTATTTTGTGGTTGCTTTGCACAAAATAGCACAAGGCACCTCCTGATTTATGGCACAGACTCCTGGGTACAAGGGCTATACTCACCTGGCAGCACCGAGGACCGTTCAGGTGCACGCAAAGCTGTTTTACTCTGCAGTAGGAGCACGTGGCACCGGTGCTGCCAGAGCAAAGAGCAGTAACACAACCATGAATCCCTCACACCATGGGGCACATGTGGGACATCCGAGGGCCGTCCTCTGCTGTTCAGGGCGCTTTTCGCACGTACACACTTGCTCTTTGCTGACCACGAGGCTGAGCGTGGCAGGTGTGCACAGGCACGTGGCTTTTTTAATTATTAGGACAGGTCGTCTGGGCTTTTGTTTTTGAGATAATTTTGTTTTCTAATTTTGGAGGTGCCTGCAGGGAAGCGGGCAGCAGATGAGGGGCACGGGGAGAACATTTCCTGACATAAAAAAAGAGCATTCACCCTTCTCATGCTCGGAGAGGGAACCAGGAGGAAAAAGAAGTTTGATCGTCTAAAATGCGGCACATTAAGCAAAACTGAATACGATATGTAGTGAGTATCTGTGACAAGAGCAAACTGATCCTGCTGTTGGAATATTCATGCAAATAGAAGCAATTTCACTATGATTAAAAAGGCAATTAACTGAAAAAAACGCCAGCAATTTCAGAAGCAGCCTGTGTGTCAGTGAGGCCTCCACGCAGTGCTGAACTGACATTTTGCTCACTTTCATATTCTATCAACGAGATACTCCCTACTACAGCTTGAGAGTGGTAATTACCCCAACTGGAGGCAGATGCTCTTAGAAAGACTCCAACAAAGTCTACACACGCCACTTCATACGCGGTGCACAGAGAGGGGGTTGCAACAGCATCCTGCCTTTCCCACCCCCGCTTGCTCTGCCAGTCGGATGAAAGGCACCAGCATAAAGAGCATCCACAAAAAGAATGGGTCCAAACTAAAAATGTTCAGCCTGGAATACAAAGCACTCGGGGAACGAAGCACGGGCAGGACTGCGGTGTCACAGCCGCTGTCTGGTGATGGGCTTCAGAGCGGTTTTCCCTCTAGGTAAGGCAG